ACCAAATTCATCCACCAATCTCTGCAACTTCTCTTCAGAATCTCCCAAGAGCACAGTGTCATCAGCAAAGAGCAGCTGTGACAACTCCCACTTTGTGTGTGATTCTTTATCTTTTAACTCCACGCCTCTTGCCAAGACCCTCGCATTTACTTCTCTTACAACCCCATCTATAAATATATTAAACAACCACGGTGACATCACACATCCTTGTCTAAGGCCTACTTTTACTGGGAAATAATTTCCCTCTTTCCTACATACTCTCTAATATGCTTACAAAAACCTGCTGGATGCTCAACCCCATCAAATTGAAAGCCACCTTCATCTCCTCCCTCCAGTTGTTCCTGGGATGATCTCTACCTTCAACCCCTAGTTTTACACATTCTCTTCGTCATCCTATTCTGCTCCATCCTCGCTACATACCTGAACCTGCTCAACGATCCCTTATTATTATTATAAAAAAGGTGCGCTAAACCTACAAGGGTCATACAGCCAATGATCCCTTAACCCTCTAAATTAGGCTCTTGGTTACCCACACTGCCTTTTAATTTCTTTGCTCTGAATTCTCTGTATAATATGAGCTTATTTACTAAAATCAGCAATATTCATTTTAAGGTGTTGGCTACTTCAAAAGCTCGACTCCCTCTTCTTCTGGGAAGCCTTCACCCACAAGGTATGCAAAATATTGTTTTTATTATAGCTTAGATTAAAAAACTGCTATGAATATAAATTTTGTTTTCCCACAGTATCACAGATTTTGTTTTACAGTATTACATTACATATATGATCATTACTTAAATAGATTGGAAGCTAATATAAAGATTTAAAATAAATATAATGATATTTTTAAAGTCAGGTAATTCAGTAACTGCCCATAATATATGTACGTATACCATATGTATTTAATTACATGCCTTATTAACTTTGCTTGAAAAATTAAATATTTTACACCATGAATATAATGGATTTTAGGACAAAATATAGTTAATAGCTTCTTATCTTTTTTAGTACCTGTAGTAGTACATAAATCCTTTTTTTCTTTTATCCGCGGGAATGTTCCTGGCTCGGTAAACAGACTAGCCATGGTACCAAGTAAACTTCATGCAGCAAGTGCTGGTTTAAAGGCCCTTCAGACGACTCAGCATTCCTCACACCATAACATACCTGGTCATCACGGTAGTCAGCCAGATCTTCGACCTACTTTTTTACAAACTCAACCATTCACAGTTCATTCTTCAAATACAGCCATAACATCACCCAGTTCTTTTATGAACCAAATGCAAGGACACTCTTCAACGTATGGGAAATTTATTATGTAGTTCACGTGATGAGTCTTGCAAGTTAAGAATTTTATCAGCCAAGTTTACTTGTTGTAGAGGAATACTTATTGGCATTACAAATTCATAATTAGTTCTTTACTGTATCAATAAAGATTTTTTTTTTTTTTTTTTAAAGAGTGAGGATGTGTGAATAAAAGAGGTTCTTCTAGGGAAATGGAAGTATTTTTTTTTTGTGTGTGTATATTTTTATATATTAGATGACAAAAATTTTTCCCAAAAAACTTCCCTTTAGGAGTGTAACACTGACAACAAAGTATCTAGATTACCCTATGACATACTTTGCAGAAATTATTATTTGTTGACTTTTGTATCTCTTCCCTATGACATACTTTGCAGAAATTATTATTTGTTGACTTTTGTATCTCTTCCCTATGACATACTTTGCAGAAATTATTATTTGTTGACTTTTGTATCTCTAATATAAATATATAATCCCCTAAGTAATCTTCATTTTCCCTTTCCATGGAGTACCCTAGTTTGCTTATCCCTCCAATTTTCCTGGATTTCTCACTCAGAGGTTTACCATCATTGACTGAATCAGTAAGACCAACAGTTATACAATTATTAAAATGTATTCTTTTTAAAATTTGTGTAAATTATTTCCCTTTTGTGTGCAAAAGGTAACCATTATAGAGAGTAAAACTGATGTACTATGTTATTATAATTTTAGTGGATAGTTTTATTTTCCTGTTTCTGATAATAATTTCTTGGGCAATAATTTCAGTAATAATTAGGTAATCATTTCAGTAAAAAAATAAAAACTGAAGTACTATTACTTTTACCCACTAATACGCTTAAATATCTACATTATAAAGAACTCTCTTAAGAATAAAAAGGCACAATACCATGACCGGAGGAGTACGCAGAGAACCCACACATAGGAAACTGGATCTTATGACACTGTTTCAGTCCAGCTTAGATTGACTGGCCTCTTCAAGGGGGGCTCCTTGGCATGGTGAAGAGGCTCTTGGTCTGAGGAATTAGACCTGTCGGTCTTCTTCCTCAGACCGAACCTAATTACCCCCCAATCTCCCCTCCCCTATCCCATCCTCCCCATCCTCCCATTTTTCCTTTCCTCCTCCTCCCCCACCCCTCCCTTTTGCCCTTCCTCTTTTTGGCCTTTGGGATTTCTCCCACAGGCACGCTAGTTCCTAGGTAGGGGAAAGGATACCGGGGTCCATCCCATTCCGTTGAGGTTCTTGGCGGTGGCGTAGTTTGCCGTGGAATCTGGATCACCTGGGGATGTCCCGATCCCTCTCCGGTATCCCAGAGTAGCTTTGGGTGTCTTTCGGGCGACGGGTGTATCTCTGGAAGCCACCTTTCGGATTCCGGGGGTGGTGGCCGAAGGAGGTATGCATTGTGGCGGATATCCGGCCGCCCTCTCTTTTGTCCACCGAGGTAGCTCGGCAGATGTGAGGTTGCTATCCCGGATTGTTAGTTTACTAGCATGATGGGTAGGGTATGGCACGGGTTCCATGCTGCATCTGCGCTACTTGCAGTGCTGAGGTCCTCTTGGGCGCGGAGGGAGATTTCTGGCCCTTTCATTCCTCTTAGGAACTATCCCTCCCCGGTCCCCCCTTTTTTTTATTCTTTTTTTCATTTTTATTTTCTTTTCTTCTTTCTTTTTTTTTCTTAAAAACAAAAAGAAAGAAGTAACCTAACCATGGCAGCCCTAGTCCATGAACCTACTACCCCCGGGCCCCTTCTTGATACCGCACCCCGTTCTGACCCCGCCTCGTCTTTGGACCACTCTTCAGACACTCCTCATGCCTCTGTACCTCTTGCCGGTGCTGTTTCCTCACCAGCTTCAGGTACTGAGGCCTCGACTGACTCCTTCGATTTATCGGACCTTCGCTCTCCTCTGACTATGCTTCCGGCCTCCCTCTACGGTGCAGCAATTTTCAAATCGCCGACCCGTTCCACGTCGGACCAACTCTGGTCCCACGCCTAAATGCCAACGACAATTACCTGCTGATGATATTTCTCCACCTTCTCGTTCTTCTCAGAAACGATTGACACGTCCTTCACTACCTTTCCACGCTCAGTTTCAGACTGAACAATGGACTAAATTCTTCACTTTACGACCGACTTCCTCTACTGCCTATCTTTCTGACCACAGTATTGGCAAGGCACTCCTACGCCATGTTGATAAAGATATTTCTTTTCATGCTCTTAAGAGCGGTACGCGCATCATCACCGTACAGAATGCTTCCCAGGCTCATGAGCTCTCGTCTTTCCCATATCGATACTGTTCCTGTCACTCTTGAAAAACATCATTCCCTCAATTCTTGTAGGGGTACCGTCATTCTGCCCCATACCATAGTTCAACAAAATTTCCAGACATGTGGCACTGACATTCTTGAACAGCTGGAACTCCAAGATCTCCCAATCCTCAAGGTAGACACTTACGTTCTTCCTGCCCGCGGGCAGAGACGATACCCTAGCAATGTGGCTCGTTTAAATTTTGACAGCCGAGAACTCCATCCTCAGTTTATATAGCAGGACATCGGTTACAAGTTCGAAAGGTGACCCCTACACCACAACAGTGTAGAAATTGCTGGCGATTTGGCCATCCAGCGAAATATGCAGATCTACGCCGAATGCCCAGTCTGTGGTGCCGATGACCATTCTAATACGTCTTGCAATCGATCTCCCTCTTGCCTTAACTGTCATGAGGCTCACCCTTCGTACTCTCGCCATTGTCAAGTCTATTTAAACGAGCGGGAAATCCGTTACCTCAAAGAGACAGAAGGTCTCCCTTATGCCATGGCAGTTTCTCATCTCCGCCTCCAAGGAGACTCCCACGTTTTCTTATTCCCGTGTTTCAAAACGCCCCCCCACTTCTGGTATCCCATCTTCTACACCCACCTCTGTGGTTACCTCTCCCATAGTCACTCCTGTATCTAATCCTTTTGCTGTCCTCGGCTCAGACGTCCCTACTTCAACACCTCAGTCTGATCTCGCTTTTTTCGTGTTCTCTCTCACAAGCCTCAGTATCGACGAGACCTCGTACGACACCTCCTCCCAATCATCCCTCTACTTCTCAAAAGTCAAAAAAAGGTCCGTTAACACCTACCCATCTTCCACCTCCTCATTTTACCCTCCCTGTCTCTGTCCCTGGTTCTCCCCCTCTCACTGGCTCAGTTACAAGTGTAGAGGTTCACCCTCCTCCTCGTACTGTACCTTCCTCCCCTGTTCCCTCCCAAGTTTCTTCCTCTTCTGCCACCTCCCAGGTTTCTGCCTCTTCTGTCCCCTGCCATGCTTCTCCAGTTCCCTCCACCCTTTTGCCCCCCCCTACCTTGGTACAGTCCAATACAGTTCCAATCTTTACTCATCCTCCCCCTACCATTTCCAATATTGTCTCCCATACGACGTCTCTGAATTCCGAAACACTTGAAGCAATCTCTGAATATATTGCAGAGACCATACCATCAATGGACACTGATCCACCTTCCACTCTTTCTCTCTCCTCTGCTCCATCTGCGCAACTCCTTTCTTCACAGCGCACCGTTCCTTCGCTGCTTGAACGTTTTCCACTGCCTCCGCATGTGGACTTTTCTAACCCCTCTAGTCCATAGGAACCCTTACCTGCGGATTTCAAGTATCTTTATCATTGCCAATCATGGCCTATCTACAGTGGAATATACGCGGCCTCAGGGGTAATCGGGGTGAGCTACAGATGTTAATCTCCCAGTTTGCCCCTGTTGGTGTTTGCTTACAGGAACCAAAATTACACTCTGCTGTTATTTCTCCCATCTCAGGCTATAATTTATTGTATTCTTCAGATCCTTTTCCTGATGGGACCTTTAATGAAAGTGCCCTTCTACGCACTGATATTCCGTACCATCAGATAGTTGTTCATACTTCGCTGCATTACACAGCAGCCCGTATCCACTTACATAGGTGGTATACGCTCTGTTCTTTATATCTCTCTCCTCGGGCATTATCTATTCTGGATATTGCCTTCCTTGTTTCGTCATTACCGCCACCGATTCTGTTACTTGGTGATTTTAATGCCCACCATTTCCTCTGGGGGGGTCTCACTGTGATTCCCGTGGAATTCAGTTAGAGGCTTTTCTTGCAACCCCACCCCCTCCATGTTTTAAATACAGGTACTCACACCCATTTTGATCCTCGGACTCATACTCTCTCTTGCATCGATCTCTCAGTCTGCTCTTCCTCCGCTGCATTAGACTTCACTTGGTCTGTTCTCCCGGACTTACATGACAGCGATCATTTCCCAATCATTCTTACTTCCCCTTCATATTCGCCACCTCTTTGCACCTCACGCTGGCAATTTGATCGGGCAAATTGGAACCTTTACTCACACCTAACTGTTTTTAAAGAGGTTCCTTCTTCGTCCTCCATCGATGAGCTTTTACACCTCTTCTCGTCCTCCGTTTTCCACCGCAGCTTCTCATTCTATACCCCAAACTTCGGGCAGGCATTCTCAGAAATGCGTGCCTTGGTGGTCTCCTGCTTGTGCTCGTGCAGTACTTTTGAAACGCGCTGCATGGGGCAGGTACCAGTACAATAGAACCACAGAGAGACTCCTTGATTTTAAACAGAAGCGTGCGATCGCTCGCCGTGTCATCCGTGACGCTAAACGCACTTGCTGGCGAGATTATGTCCCCCACCATCACCTCTGCTTCCCCCTATGAGTGCAGTCTGGAAAAAAGTACGAAAACTGAGTGGTAAATATTCTGACCCGGCTCCTGTTCTGCGGGTTGCCGGTGTTGATATAGCAAACCCACTAGATGTTGCCAATGAAATTGGCAATCATCTGGTCCGTATTTCTCAGGGACTCCATCTATGCCCCTCATATCTTTCCTCAAAGTCTGCCAGAGAGTTAGCACCCTTGGACTTTTCTTCTCTCAGAGAAGAACAGTATAATGTCCCTTTTAAAACTTCAAGAACTGGAGGCGACACTCTCAGCTTGTCGATCATCGGCAGCTGGGCCCGACGACATTCATATTCGTATGCTACAACATTTACATCAGTCAGCCCTTGCAGTCCTATTACCCCTTTACAATCTTATTTGGTCACAAGGAGTTCTTCCACAGCTGTGGAAATCCGCCATTGTTCTCCCTTTCCCGCAAACCAGGCACTACGGGACATGAAACCTCCCACTATCGTCCCATTGCTCTACCAGTGCAGTTTGCAAAGTAATGGAACGCCTAGTAAATAGACGTTTAGTGTGGTATTTAGAGACACACAACAGTCTCTCCACTCGTCGATATGGCTTTCGTAAGGGACGTTCTACCATAGACCCCTTGCTACGCTTGGATACATATGTTCGTAATGCCTTTGCGAATAACCACTCAGTTATTGCCATATTTTTTGACATTGAGAAGGCATATGACACAACTTGGAGGTATAATATTTTAGCCCAAGCCCACTCCTTAGGCCTTCGAGGCAACCTACCATCCTTCCTTAAGAACTTTTTAACTGACAGGCATTTCCGTGTTCGGGTTAATAATGTGCTCTCCCCGGACTTTATCCAAGCTGAAGGTGTCCCCCAGGGATGTGTTCTGAGCACAACACTTTTTCTCTCCTTGCTATTAATGATTTGGCCTCTAGTCTTCCATCAAATATTTGGTCATTCACTCTATGTTGATGACTTCGCTATTGCCTGTGCAGGCGCTGACTGTCACCTCATTACAGTTTCTCTCCAACATGCAGTCGACCGTGTTTCCAATTGGGCCACCACACGTGGGTTTAAATTTTC